CCAATAAACGGTAATGAGGAGTACAATAAAATTTTCCATAAAAGTAAGTAAAATACCTTCTTTAATTTTCATATTATCTTAATACCTAATTGTTTATAAAGTCATGTAGTTCAGATTATAGCATATTAAAAAAGTACAATTGAAAAACTTTTTGTCTAATTTTAGTGATTTTGGAGGATGCCACATCTCAAATACTTGGTGCAACATCTAAAAACGATATGAGTGCAAGCGAATTTTGCCAAGATGATGATTTAATAGACCCAGATTAACCTGATAATTGGTACTTAATAATGTACCTGATAAGGAAGAAGGTAATATTACAGAAAGTAATGACGTAACCACGGTACCAGAAGATAACCAATTAAGTCAAAATGTAGCTGATAAAGAGAATAAAAATACCCAAAGAATGAATCTTCGAAAACCAGGAAAAAGGTTAAGAGACGATAGTCAATGGAAACGAAATGAGAAAAAAGTTAAATTAACTCCGGTCAAGAATATATCTCTAGATTAGCAAAAAAGCGAGTAGCAAAATCTATTCTGCCCGGTTGTGGAGAAAACTATGCATTTAAATGTTCCCAAAAAATATCCTATGATTACCGAAAATAAATTTTCAATAAATAATACGAGATAGCCAACAAAACTCTTCAGAGAGAATACTTGGCTTGAAGCATCGAAAAAATACTGCCAAAAGATGATAAAACATACAATAAAAAAACATTTACATGTGCTTATTTTCTTAATATCAGAGATCAGAAAATCCGCGTATGCAAACTGTTTTTTAAAACAATATTAAATATACCGAATTATACCATAGAAATAGTTCTAAAAAAAATAACTGAATATGGTTTTCTAACTAAAGAAGAAACAGGGATACATTCAAATAGGGCTAATAAAACAAGCGACGCTTTATCAAGAACAGAATCTCACTATTGCAGATCGACTACAAAAAGAGAGTATCTAGAAAGATCACTAAATATTAGTATGATGTATAGGATATATAAGGAGAAGTGCCATTTGTGAAACAACACATTTATCAGGAAATTTTCAACACAAGGTTTAATCTTTCATTTTTCAAGCGGAAGAAAGATTTGTGCTCAGTATGTGAAGTGCACAAAAATATAAGTGAAGAAGAAAAAATTGAAACAAGGGCAGAAATTGAAAAGCACAATGACGAAAAGGCACTGTCGTGCCTGGAAAAGGAAACTGATAGGAAATTGGCCTCAGAAGATGATAATATTTTGCTTTCTACATTCGATTTGCAAGCCGTGATACCCCTACCAAATGGAAATGTATCTTCTTTTTATTACAAGAGTAAGTTAAATGTACTTAACTTTACAATTATCAATATTAATACAAAAGAGGGTTTTTGCTACATGTGGCATAAAAGTGAAGCGAAAAGGGGGCGAACGAAATATTAACATGCGTTTTTAAATACATAAAAAAGTATGGCATAGGAAAATAGGTCGCGTTTTATAGCGATAATCGTTCTGACCTAAACAAAAACAGATCTTTTGCAACTATGCATTTGTATTCAGTGGAGCACTTAGATTTTCAAGAAATACTTCACAAATATTTAATTGTTGGACATACTGAAAATGAGGGTGACTTTATGCATTCATGCATAGAAAAAGAGAGAAGTAGAATATTAAAAAGCTGGCCAATTTACGTTTTCTCTGACGTTATTACCATTGTAAAGTTGGCCAAGAAAAATCCGTACTCCGTTACTGACATGTGCATAGAGGATTTTATAAAATGGAAAAAAATAAACTCAATGATGGGCAAAAATTTTAATACAAATTAAAATGGAAAAAAAGTTACTTGGAATGAAATAAAAAAAAAGTTATACTGGTTAAAAAGGTAGAACCCAATAAAAATTTTTATAAGACATCCTATGCTGATCAAGAATATAAGATTAATAATTGAAGTAAATAAAAAGAAAAGGAGAACAAAACCACTAAGTATACAATTCTGCTTATAATGCGGCACCAACCATACCTGTATATAAGAAGAATGATCTTATCAGCTTATGCAATGATAATCCAATTCCTAAGAAATATTATAATTTTTTCATGTCACTTAATGCATCTTCAGAAAATAATGATTCTGAGAGTGAATAAAGTTGAATTATAGACACCTACTTATTTTCTGTTTTAATTTTTTAAATAAAGTAGTTGCTTTTCTTTGTTCTGTTGTTTTTATTATATTTTTATAAGAAGGGTAACATCGAAACCAATATTTAATTATAGGGTAACACTAAGACACATTAGATATCCTATTTTTTTTTTCAATGAGTTTAGTGCAACAGTAGGGCAAGTTCTATTTTTTTTTAAATATAAACTTATATCTTTTTTATACCTAAACACTTTTATTTTTCTTGATATTTTGTACTCTTATCGTAAAAATTATTTCGATTGACTAATTTCAAGTGATTTTATTACAGATTTAAATTACACACAAATTTTAAAATCGATTTTCTCGCAAACAAAGATTTTGCACATGGCTTACTTTTGCTCTGATTCGACGATATTTTCTAACTTATTTTACTAGAGTTTCCTCGAATAAAAACAACCCTGTACCTGTACATGAGCTAATTCAGTAACTCTATAACTGTGAGAATACCAATAAATACCAAACACTATCTCAAATTTTACTTTCCTTTTCACGACCTGTTAATTTTTCAGTAACTGATACCCATATACTGCCATCAACACCTTTTTGGATTAATATTTTAAAATTTGACCTTTCTTTTAATAAGTATCACAATAATAAAACCAACAGCCAAATTCCAAGGCAATCTTTCCTAGAGCTGGTCGACATAAACTCATATGACAAGATTCTCTACACAGAAGTGCGTATATAGAATCTGTTTTTCTATGATTAAAAGTCCTTTTGTGTTCTGCTATACCTTTATTAGACGTTCTACCAACTTGACCGATGTAAGTTTTTGGACAGTCACCATATATAAGTTTGTATACACCACTGTAAAAGTGTGTTTTATTCTGGCTCTTGTTCTTAATATAGTAGAAGTATTGTATTATTTGTGTATTTTTATTAGTAGATAGTGAATAATAAATGAATTTTACTACTAGTAGTAAGAGTGTAGCGTTTTAAATTTGTGTCTATCTATAATATTTAATATCTATATAATAATATAAATTCTATATAAAGTTTTGTAAGACGCCCCTGAGTTGTTTATCTTGTAGTACGCATTAAAAATTACCAGGAAATCTGTGTTTCAGTAGGTTAGTAGTCAGTAGTAGTAGTAGGTCAGTAGTCAAAAAAGTAGGTATTATGTTTCAAGGTTATTTGGTGAGAGGGACTATGTTTGTTTTAAGTATGTAGGCACAAATGGTTCCAAGACGTGAGGGGAATTGGAATTGCGGTTGGTTTGGAGTCTAAGGAAATATTTTTTAAGTGAAGCAGGGGCATTCAAGCTAAGAAGACGTTTGGCGACTTTGAATCAACAGCCGATTTTTTTTGTGTAGTGTATTAAGACCGGTCAAGGTGATTTTTTACTCGTTGTAACAATGGCATTTTAGAACAGAGTAACCACCATAAGATTTGTGCAGTATACCGGAAACTGATGGAAATTTGAAAGCAGTATATAGGGTGTCCCCACCAGCTTCGTTTGTCGTTCTACTTACTCCAACCTAGTTTGCTTCTTTGATCGTCTTTCCAGTTTTCTTTGTTCCTGTTTGAGAATTGGTCCAGGTAGCTTCAATCCCAGAAATATTAGCAAGTTTTTTTTTAAGTTAAGTGCGAAAAATATGTGAAAATAAGGTAACAATTAAATATTTTTTTAAGTATTGCTTTCATTTAAAAATTTAAAAATTTGTAATAATTATAATTATATATTATGTTAGAGGCGTAGCTAAAAAATGTCATAATTTATTATGTCTTAAAATGTTGTGTTGACATATGACAGTTTGATTCTAATCTGTTGTTGTTGTAAAAAAATTAATTTGATTATTATATAGAAAAGATATTTCATAGAAAAGGTTAAATTTTACGAAATTTTCATTTACAAGAATATCCTTAATTGTAATAATCTATTTGGCCACATTAATAAATAACCTAGGAACCATTTCGAAAATGTTTGTAGCAATCTCCTTTGTAAACAGATAAACCAGTAAGTTTTTGTAAATTTTGTATTATGTTATATAGTATGCTTTTTTTGCAATCTGTATTTTTGATAACTGTTTGAGACAAAAATAAACGTTTGATTTATTTCTCTTATCCATTTTTTTATTTTAATTTAGAAAAGTCTGCTAACCCTTGTATGTATTCTTGATTTTAGGAAAGAAGAATTTTTCTTTCTTCCAGCAGGAAATTTTCTCGAAGCGGCGTCCGAATAGAAAATAGCTAAAGGTATTTCTTGTCTGGCCATATCTTGTTCGTTTTGTTCCAGGAGATTTAAGTATCCCTTTGTTTTCATTTTATAGTTACCCTAATACGACTGAAGTACAATATCCTATTTATCCTATCCTTTTATATCTAACCCTTAAAAACAAAGTTTATTTAGGACCACACCATGATCTAATTAATTAATAAGTACTATTTCTTAAAATCTACAGTAGAAGCGATTTAAACATTGCTGGCTCTGATTCTCTTGTGGCACAACTTTGACTGTAAAGTTAGCTAAGTCAGTCGAAGGGTTAAGATGGTTTGTGCAAGTTTAACTCATAACACATAATCACGCAATACGAAAAATAAGTAAGTAAATTTTCTGAAATAAATAGATGGGAGATAGGATAGATGCTTATGGAGAAACCAAATATATAATAGCATAAACATAAACCAAAGGTAATGATGATGATAAACTATCTCCAAGAATATAAACAAGTGTATCAACATCTTAATTTATGTTTCATAGTATGAATTTAAAAAGCATAATGTTAATAAATGCATTAGATAGGTATATATTATGTTAGCTTCTAAACGGTAGTTTGCCAAGTACTAATATAAAACTACCTTAATATCGAATCAGAAAACGTACTTACCAAATATGCGTTGGTAGTATTTGAGTCGGTGTTAGGAAAAGGTGTATAAACAGCTAAGGCAACACAATTTGCGAATATTGTAAGAAGAATTAACCATTCAAACGGTCTGAAAAGTTTAAGTTAAGGAAAACACATATTTCTACGAATGTAAATTATTAAAAAAATTATCAAGAATATTGTTTTTATCCAAGATTAGTTTACTGTGAGATACATTTGCTATAAAATATTATTTTACTAAATTAAAATAATATACTACGACAATTTTCATAGAACTATTTATTGCTTACTATATATGTTTATAGTTTATTATAGTATATATAGTATATTATAGTTTATTATTTATTATAGTTTATTTATTTACAGAAACCGCAAGTAGAGGGGAGGAAGTTACCAAGAATTATATAATTTCACCTCTGGGTAAAAACATAAATTACACTGTCATTCATATTATCCTTATCAGAACAGGACCCTTAAGCTAGCGGGGACACATGAGCGGAATCCAATTTAACTTACGTATTATTTTTTCACCCATTTTTCACTAATTTATTACCACCCTATTAATTTTTCACCACCAAACCAACCTTAAGGGCAGCGATTCTGCTGGCTTAAGATTCAAGCTAGCAGAATTAAAAAAACTTTCTGTTGATGGCATATTTTTTCACCTATTATTCACTAATTTATTACCACCCTAATAATTTTTCACCACCAAACCAACCTTAAGGGGAGCGATTCTGCTGGCTTATGGTTCAAGCTAGCAGAATTCAAAAAAAAAACTTTTTCTGGATGGCATACTTTTTTATCTATTTTTCACTAATTTATTACCACCCTAATAATTTTTCACCACCAAACCAACCTTAAGGAGAGCGATTCTGCTGGCTTAAGGTTCAAGCTAGCAGAATTTAAAAAAAAACTTTTTGTTGATGGCATATGTTTTCACTCATTTTTCACTAATTTATTACCACTCTAATAATTTTTCACCACCAAACATCTCTTAATGGGAGCAATTCTGCTGGCTTAAGGTTCAAGCTAGCAGAATTAAAAAAAAAACTTTTTGTTGATGGCATATTTATCCATAATCCAATGAGACCTAGTGTTATTCCTGTAGATCGGTTTTATAGAAAAAGAACAGTCATAGACTTTTTAATAATAAAATAACTGCTCTGCATTATCTAGTAAAAGAATTACCACTAGATGAATCAATGGTACTGTGGAAACTTTGACTTAGCTTTAAACAATATATTAAACAACAAAGGCATAAAAGACGGTATCAAGGTTAGAATTAATTCGTAAATTAATTTATAAATAAGCAAAGAAAGACGGAATATCGCACGCGAACATTTACCTATAAATAATGCTAATAAATCGGACAAAAGCGAAAAGATGCAGAGTATGTCCTATCCTAAAAATAAGAAAAAAAAAACAATTTATGAGTGAGTGGATTGTCACGAGAAACCAGATCTCTCCTTGGACGATTCTTTCAAACATTTCAATTTTTACCTATATTCAACTGACAATGAATGAAAAATCGACAAAGAAATAAAATACAAATATCTTTTTTTTTTTTTTTATTTTTTTTTTATTTAAATTAACGTGCATGTGACATCTATGGTCATTAGCACGAGTTACGATTTACATGGTAATATAATATAAATTACAAAATAAAATGTAGTTAACATCTAACATACAGAGAAAATAATAAAAACTTGTAATATAACATTTATATTTTGTTGAGCAGTTGACTATTCTCGAGGAATTTGATGACCTTGTTGATTTCGTCTGTGTTGTTTAGGACCTCTTTGAAGTTAGTACTGATATTGAGCTGTTGGCGTATTTTGGCATATAAAGGGCATTCGATAAGTATATGCCTGATTCGGAGAGTCGTATTGCAGTGTTGACATTTTGGTTGTGGAGATGATGTCATCAGGTAGCCATGAGTTAGACGGGTATGTCCAATACGCAGTCTCCGTATGATTGCCATATTTTTTCGAGATAAACTGGGATAGGTAAGACGGTTCACTGTAGGTTTGATTTCATGCAGCGCTGAGGTAACATTATTCCAGTGAATCTGCCACGTAGATAAATTAAGCTTCTTTAGTCTGGCTTTCAGATCATTACAAATTTGTATGTTTATAATGGTGTTCGTGGATGATGCGGCTTTTTTGGCAAGGCAATCAGCTTTTTCGTTACCACTAATACCAACATGGGATGGTATCCATATCAGAGTGATAGTTATATTTTGTTTTATAAGAAGCTGATATATGTCATGAATATCTTGGACGATAGGATGTTTGGTGGATATAGCATTAATGGAGTGTATAGATGAAAGCGAATCGGAGCATATGGCTATGTGTGTATTTGTATATCGTTGGGCATATTTAAAAGCTTGTAAGATAGCTAGTAGTTCACCAGTGTGGATACTACACCAAGGAGAGATTTTAGAGAGTTCGATAGGCTGTTGTACAGTGGTTACAGAATATCCAACCCCACCTTCAGTCTTCGACGCGTCAGTGTAAAGAACCATGTTATATTTATTTTTGTTTATAAGTTCTAGGAAGAGAATTCTTAATGTACTAATACTGGTATCTTCCTTGTTAAACTTGGTGAGTGAAATATCATGATATGGGAGTATGTTGGTCCAATAGGGATTATTGGAGAATGGTAGAGTTCTGGTTTCATACAAATTTATATCTTTTAGTAACGGTTGTAGAAGACTAGGAATAGGATGTATAATTAAGTTACATGGAGGGCTGTTTTGGGTATGATGTGATGATGTAAATAGATGATATACGGGATTGGACGGATTGGAAGAAATTGCAGCAGCATAGGAGAGAAGAAGGTTTTCTCGTCTAAGCCATAGAGGAGGTTCATTAGCTTCACAGTACAGACTTTCTGCCGGACTAGAACGGAATGCTCCAAGACATAAACGAATAGCTGTATTGTGAACTGTGTTCAGTGAATTTAATATTGATTTAGTACCAGACATATAGGCGAAACATCCATAGTCTAGCTTAGAGCGGATAAGTGATCTGTAGACTTTCAGTAAAGTAGTTTCTTCCGCGCCCCAATGATAATGTGAGAGTGTTTTGAGTATATTTAACCTTTTTAGGCAAACTCCTTTAAGTTCCTGTATGTGTTGTTTCCAGGTTAATCTTGAATCAAATATCAGCCCTAATATTTTGCAATTATCAACAACCGGTAACTTGAAGTTGTTGATAGTGATTTCCGGATCAAAAGAACTCATTCTTCTGCTAAATTTAATAACTTTGGATTTAGAGTGGGAGAGGGTAAGTCCTAGAGAAGCTACTTTGTTTTGTAGGTCATTTACTCCTACTTGTAGAATTTTACTAGTAGTTGCGTTGGATTTACCATGACAGTACATTATTAGGTCATCGGCATATAATACGCATTTGATTGGTGGAGCTATATTTTCACTTAACTTGCTAATCGAAAGAATGAATAAGGATGTGCTTAAAACTGAACCTTGCGGAACTCCATCATATTGGATGTGTGGAGAAGAAAGGAAGTTATTGACAGAAACCCTGAACGATCTAGATGTTAGGAAGTTTTTGATAAATGCGTATATGTTGCCAGTAAGGTTACATTCAAAAAGTTTGTCAAGGATTGCATTTCTAGAGATGGTGTCAAATGCGCCTTCTATATCAAAGATAGTTGCTATCAAATCTTGCTTGCAATTTATTGCGTTGGAGATGTGGGTTTGGAGTATTACTAGATTATCTCTTGTGGAGCGCTGTCTTTGGTAGCCAGATTGTTCCTTTGGAATAATCTTATGTTTTTCAAAATACCACAAAAGACGTTTGTTAATCATTTTTTCCATTAGCTTACACATAGTGCATGTGAGAGAGATGGGCCTGTAAGATTGTGGAAACATAGTTGGCTGGTTTGGCTTGAGTATTGGTATAACTATAGATTTGCTCCATTGAGATGGAAATTTATGGGAACTCCAGATTATATTGTATAAATTAAGGAGTTTTTTAAGACTATAATTAGACAAGTGCTTTAGGAATGCATAAGGAATATCATCGGGTCCAGCTGCAGTGTTTCTACTATTAGCTAAGGCAGATATTAGCTCATGCATAGTGAAAGGAGAATTAAGGGATCTACTATGTTCAGATGATATCAGATGATTTCTGTGTGAATATAAGTCATGATGAGACAAAGCAATATTATTGGTTTTATTTCTGAACTTGTCTTCGAAATGTTTGGCAAAGGCGTTAGGAATAAGTTCGTATGAAGCGATCTCTATACCATTTGTAATTAAACGAGTAATTTTATTATTAGTTTTGTGACCTTGAATTTGTCGTATTTTTTTCCAAATTTGGCTAGGATTGGAGTTTTCGTTGATAGATGATACGTAATCTTGCCAGGATGATTTTTTACTTTTTTTGACTACGTGTTTGGCCTTGGCTTTGAATTTTTTGTAATTTATTAGATTTTCAAGGCTTCTGTTTTTTTGGTACTTATTTAAAGCTTTTTTGGATAGACGAATCGCCTCTTCACAAGAAGAGTTCCACCAAGGAACTACTTTATGATTTGGAGAGAATGATGTTTTGCCAATATGAGTTTTAGCAGCTGAAAGAATAGTGTCTGTTATTGACGTTAACAAATAGTCTACATCGTTTATTATTAGATGATCATGCGCGAGCAAGAGAGTCTCAACGGCTTTTGAATACTCTGGCCAGTTAGCTTTTTTTAGGCACCAATAGCTTTTGGCAGAGGCAGTCCCATTAGAATTGTTGAAAATTATTATAGGATAATGATTGCTATCAAAGAGATCGTCAGCTGTTTGCCAGGTTAAAAAAGGTGCAGATTTAGGGTCACTAATACTAAGATCTATAGCAGAGAAAGATCCAGATGAAATATTAAAATGAGTGTTAGATCCTGTGTTAAGAAGACATGAGTTTGTGCAGTTAATAATATTTTCAACTACTTTTCCCCGTCCAAATGTGGATTGAGAACCCCACATAACGTTATGTGCATTGAAGTCTCCTGTGAGAATAAACGGCTGTGGAAGTTGGAATATAAGGTCTAGGAGCTCTTCTTCTTTTAGAGAATGGTTTGGGGGAATATATATGGAGCAGATGGTTA